TAATGTTTGTCCTTCGATTTGACAAGTGCTCTACCCCTCCATTCCCCAAAGCCAAACAAACAGTTATGTTTGCATAGACATCTTTGTACGAAGTATTATACAGCGCGTCCTATTCAACCAATTTGAAAGAGGATTCTTCTTGTTGTACCCACTATTGTACCCACTTTTGTATCCACCATGTCTTCATAGACATATTTTTGTCTATCACCGGGATTCACAGACAAAAAGAAAACTCCCCACAGTCTCACAGACATGGTGGGTACAAAAATGGATACAATAGTGGGTTTATTGTACATTTTTCCTTTGAAAGAACATGCCGTGCCAGGTAAAATTTCATTCAAATCAAATTATTATCAAGTCATATGATAAGTGTATTTATTCTCAATCGTATCATGCAAAAGCTGGATTTTTCTAATCTAATCACAATTTAGAAGACATGCCTATGTTCATTGCTATAAACAAATAAAACAAAAAAAAAATAACAAAATCATGCACCAGTAGAATAACCATTAGTGCCCTTGTAACCTGGTTGACCTGCATTTCCATATTCTTCCTCTCCTCTTTTTTAAACCCACTATTCTCTTCATCTTCATCATCATCAGAAATTCAGAATCCAATGTAAAATGCGAGCTGCTGCTAGCCATTTCCAGCTGCACCACCTCTGCACTAAGTGGTCCCTCAAAGCTCTATTGAAAATATTTTTTTTAAAAATATAATAACAATATTTTTTATTGTATTTTTTTTATTAAAATATGAAAATTATTATAATAATTGTGTAGTTATATTTCGTATTAATTAATTATACTACCTCCGTCCCGCTATTAACTTTCTGCTTTCCTTTTTGGGACGTCCCAAAATTATCTTCTCATTTCCCTAAATAGAAAGTTTCTCTACATTAAAACAGTGTCAAACAGTGCAAAACAGTGCCAAACAGTGCTAAACAGTGCCAAACAATGTCTAAACAGTGTCTAAACAGTAAAGTCAAATTTAATTCCTAAAAATGTGTGAGGGTCAAAGTAAAAACTTAAAAACGGGACGGAGGGAGTATGTCCTTTAAGGTAATTTCGTATTATCCAGGCATTTTCAGCTCTTTTTGCCAAACGAATTTACTTCATTCAGCTAGTAGTTCAGATTCAACACTTCTTAATTCAACTTCAAACAATAGTTTCTGATTCAAACAATAGCTCCTAATTCAAACATTAGCTTCAAGCTACAACTCATTGTGCCAAGCTTAGCCTTAGTCTTTTTGAATCATCCTTTTCAACTTCAGTCTTTCACAATCATCATCAACTTCAATCGTCATTTAATTATCATCATCAGCTCTATTGACAAGTCAACTTCAGTCTTTCACTCTTAGGGGGGAGCAAATCAGGTTTGGAAGGGGGGGGGGGGGAAGAAGTTTAGCCACTGTTCAGGTTAATCTACTTTAGGAAATAATTGTGTGTTTCGAAAGTTCAAAATTTTTAAATGTCTATAAATTTTTATTTGAATTGAGAGCTATCTTATCTTAAAAGTATGAGTAAAACACGTTTCTAACGATCAAACTGAATATAGGATAAACTAAAGAAGAAAAGAAGATTTGATTCAATACCACAATGATGTAAAAATTCAATACCACAAGTGTGAATGGAAAAAAATCTCACTTGTCTCTTAGGATGTGCGTGAATATCTAGTCTATTCATTTTGCTTAGGGTTTTGTGCCTATCCTCCAGACTTTACAGGACTGGGGTTAGATTTGTTACATAATAAGCCTATAAGAGAGACATTTGGGCCCTAATATGAGGCAGTCCATTGTCTAATTAGATAAACTAATTACACAAACAGTACTATATAAAACATAATTGGACACCATCAAAATTCTCTAACAATCCCCGTCTTGATATTCAATCATGTTCAATTAGCATTGCAGCGCGAGTATCTTTGTTTTGTGTTGAATTTGCAGTGTAGAGGAGAGGGTAGATGAGATTGGTTGAGTTGCTCATATTTTGTTTTGATTTTCAATGCAGTTCAACTTCCTTTGTCTTCTTCGAAAGACTTTCTGAAGAAATTCTTACAATCTCCCCTTTGATGTCTTTTGTCAATTTTTTCTTTGATGTCGGGGTTGAGGGATTTTTTCAAAATCTTGCTTTTAATTCTTACCTTTCAGAAATTGCTCTTGATCAACTTGAATAAAGTTCAGTGGCGTCTCTAGTATGAATGTTCTTGAAGGGTTTGAGGGGCACACATGATTAATCTTCAATATTTGAGTATCCGACCTCTGTCTCCTCTAGGAAGTAGCCTTTTGGAGTATTTGATGTGAAAGGTCTTGAGTGACAGTTGCCGACGACACAACGCAAAATGATGGTGATTCTTATCAGCATGTGCTGACCATTTGCATTGAAGTTTATTTGACAGTTATGATGAATCAGAGAGAGTAGAGTCGTCAATATTTGAGTTGGAGGAGAGAAGTGTCTGAGATCATTTTGAAGTTCTGAAGCATGTGGATCACTCTCCCCCTTATGACGGGATGACATGCCTTTATTCATCCTTTTATTCTGGGTAACAAAAACAAAAAGAAAAAAGAAAAACATTGATGTGTGGCCTGTACAACAACAACATCCAAGCCTTAGTCCCAAAAAATATTGGGGTCGGCTAACATGAATCGATACATGATATCACCATCAAAAGGAAAAGAAAGAAAATAAAGATAAAAAGATAATATAAAAAGAGATGAATATACCTAAAAACGATAAAATAAAATGGATAAAAATAATGTATATATATATAAGGATAAAAGAATAAAAAACAAGAAGAAAAAAAATCATTACAGTTCTAAGAGGACTTCATTTTGTGGTTCAATTGCTTAAATTTTGTTTTTCCAGTTTGCCTTTGCCATTGTACTACTTTTATTTTGAGCTTTGAGGGTATTATTTTTATTTCTCTTTCTGAAAAATTTGACATTTCTCAATCATTTTTGTCTTTGTGATAATTGTTTCAACGAGTTTCTTTGTGAATCTGATGATTACATTTTCTTTTCATTGCTCCTATTGTGTCTTGATATGGGTTCTACTAATCTATATAATATAATAAAGCAAACCCTTGAAGAACTCTTTAGAGGAATTCTTGACATGTGGCAATATTCTTTGTATGAAAAAGTGACATGTGGCAAGACAATAAATAAAGCAAACCCTTGAGGAACTCTTTAGAGGAATTCTTGACATGTGGCAATATTCTTTGTATGAAAAAGTGACATGTGGCAAGACAATAAATTCAAGAAAAAACTATTCAACTTCCAAAACTCTACTTTTATGTATTCCAATATTATATATATGTATTTATATTCATATATGCGTATACATAAATATAAATAATAAGTATATCTGAAAATTATTTTGGTAGTAAAATATAAATGAATATTTATATTGAAATGGATAGGAAAGGTTAAATTTATTTTTAAGAAAATGTCATTATATATTTTTATTTATTGTCAAGCATATTTTTACTTCACATAATGCACATTTTTCAAATGTAACTTTTCGGTTGATTCTAATTCTCTTCATAGATTGCATTCTCATTTGATCACCCTAATTATACATATAAGAAACTAAAACACTAAGCACACAATACTTGATAAGTTTAATTTAAAATATTATTAAATTATTCGTATACTAAAATTTTATAACTATTATATTGTACTACCTTCGTCCCACTAACATTGGGACATGAGGTGATGACGCGATTATTAAGAAAAATGAGTTTATGTGGTTGACGTTGAATTGATGAGATAAAAATAAAGTAAGAAAGATTTAATACCACACAAACTTTAGCTAATTTTGTACTCCGTATGAGAAAGTGTTAGAGAGACGGATCGAAAAGAAAAGATAAGAGAATCTTAGCGGGACGGGGGGAGTATCTATAAAAAACACTTAGTGTAGAAAATGACGCAATTTACATCTTTTGAGTAAACATTTGAATAATTATTATAATATAGAAATAATAGCTCAACAAGGGTTGTAAAATAACAAGTATATTTCAAAATAATTTTGGTAGTAAACCATCAATATTGAAGACAAAAAAGTAAAAAATAGATGTTTATATTTTGGGTTACTCACTTAACTTGCAACCCGTGCGAATTGACCCACGAAACCGGTCACTTCATTGGATAAAAAACGACAACTCTTACCCACTTTGAAATGGGGTGAAATAGGTCAGGCTAGCCCTGGAGACTTTGACTCATTTCACTTACAATCGGGTGAATTTTCTTTTAAACCGTGATTGATGAATTTACATACAATTCATTTCACTTACAATTTTTATAAAAACTTCCAGTGCATATTTTGCCGTGCAGTGCACGGGTACATATACTAGTAAGTAATAAGTGAGCTACGATCCCTCAAATGGAGAAACTACTTTTAGAACGGTGGGCGTAGCTCAACTGGTAGTGAGGGAGTGTCACAAGGGTTAGGTCTCGGGTTCGAATCCCGGCAACTGCGATGAGGGGTTACTATGCTGAAAAATGCATAGGGCCTCTGCAAGTACCGGGGACAGAGCCCCACTTTCTATCTGTCAGATTGTGATTATAGTCCAATTTACATCCTCCCAACATGTCGTCCGGTCGGTGTTGGGGGGCCCTCAGGGATGGGGTGTCAATTTTTTTTTTTTGAGAAACTACTTTTAGTATATTTCCACAAATGGCTTATGCTCCCTCCGTCCCAATATAAAGAAAACATTTGCGTTTCCAAACATTTTTAGAAGGAACACTGTTTAGACATTGTTTGGATACTGTTTGACACTATTGACATTGTTTTGCACTATTTTGTTTATCAAAAATGGAAATATGCCTTTTATATTGGGACAACCCAAAAAGGAATATGTGCTTATAAGGCTTTTACTAATGACCACTAGTTTGAAGGAAAAAGAAGCTGTAATTAAATAAAGACGAACAAGTTGCAAATACCGGTTACTTACTAATTTACCATAAAACCCGTGAAAAATCCAGAATAATTTTGTTGCGTTGACTTGGAAGACTAATGACTAATCTACGTTGGGCCCAACAAAAGCTTTGGTTAGTGGAAATTTTCTCTGGCTAAAACCAGACACAGTAGATCTGGTTGTGCCGTAACGACCACCGTACGGAGATGGCTTTTTCCTCCCGCCGCGGAGGGTGGTGGTCTCACTATCTCCTCCCCACCTCCAAGCCTTCAATGAAGCAGGCACGTAAATCCCGCAAACGGACAGCCATTAAAGACTTCCTGCTCGCCAACTTCTTCTCCATTGGCATCTCTCTGTGCTTTCTCTTTTTCCTGCTCATCATCTACAGCTATGGCGTTCCTAAACCACTGCTCTCCTCTCACTTCCGTTCCACCCGGACCCGTTTTTCCCGAACCCGTAAGCCCGTTTACAGGAAATCCCCAGCTGGCGATGCCGTTTCGGGGGCTGTGGTGGATATAACCACCAAGGGTCTATATGACAAGATTCAATTCCTTGATGAGGATGGTGGTGCTTGGAAGCAAGGTTGGAAGGTAACTTACAAGGGAAATGAATGGGATTCGGAGAAATTAAAGATTTTTGTTGTTCCACATTCGCATAATGACCCAGGTTGGATTTACACAGTTGAGGAGTATTATAATCGACAGTCCAGGCACATTCTTGACACCATTGTTGAAACACTTTCGAAGGTGAATTTTCTTTTGTGAATGTATAATCAACGACTCAGATGCAAATATGGTGAATATAGGAAACTGACCTAGTGACCTGAATATCAATTTCACTTGGATGTTCTTATTACTGCTTCATGTTGCAACTACAAGAGTTTAGTTACTGATCAAAAATTGCTCATGAAATTCTGATTCTCTGATGGTTACTTTTCCAAGTTAATTTTGGGGACATTTTGTTATGTTCCATTTCATAATGTTTAATGTGATTTCTTCCGCTAATCGTTCTGGGTATTGGTGTATAGGATGCTCGCCGCAAGTTTATATGGGAGGAAATGTCTTATTTGGAGAGATGGTGGAGGGATGCATCAGCTGCAAATAAAGAATCCTTCATCAATTTAGTACAGAATGGACAACTAGAAATCGTAGGTGGTGGTTGGGTGATGAATGATGAGGTAAGCCTGTGCTGTTAACGTAATGACACTTTTGCAATGGTATGCAAGTAATAATTTTTCTCTTCAAGTGCTGCATATTTCTTCCCATTGGGATCTGGGAATGGTGAACAGAAAGCCAAGTTTTTAACGGATCACAGTGTCGATTTGACATTTTTCTTAGTAAAATTTACCATAATGAATGAGTTCTAGGTTTCCAGCTTCTTGAAAAAATGGGTTTATTTGTCTGGTAACAGTTGATTAGCTGGTTTTACATGTAAAACTGTAATCATATTTGGTACTTGTGCTGGCGCGCGTTCGGAAAGCTAGACTAAAATAATAATCTTTTGGACACGTTATGTCAATTTTACTGGGACCCTTGGACCTTTAGAACTTTATTTGCATTTTGCTCTTCATATTTGGTTTTCTCGTCAAGGAATCATTTTCCTTGCAATTGTCTTTCAATCATCTGTGAATTTCTCTTGCTTGTGCACCCTGCAGCTTATTTTATTCCCTTTTTTTACAGGCTAATTCACACTACTTTGCAATCATAGAACAGGTAAAGTGTGTAATTCTCTTGTTTTAACTCACATTCTTCTTATTGATACCACTTACCGCCCAACTTTCCTTGCTTTGAGTTTCTAATTGAAAACTGAAGTAATAAGCTGAACAGATGATGCCAACTGGAGAATTAGATAGAGATTTATATGGGGCCCAAAATGTTGCAGTTCTCATTTACTGAGTTGAAAATTGTGACATTGTTGCATAATGTATATCATCTCATTCTAGTTTCCATAATATGCTTTAAGTAAATCGTTCTTTTTAACTTTTTATTCATATTTAATAATTTGTAAACCCTGCGAAACAGCTGGGATTTCTTAATAACTATATATGTACTTAAGCATGCATATCACATGCTGTCCCTATAAGCTGTGCTAAGGATCTTGTTTTCTGAATCTATTACCAGATAACAGAGGGTAATTTATGGCTTAATGAAACTTGCGGTGTTGTTCCAAAAAATTCGTGGGTGATAGATCCTTTCGGATACTCTCCAACAATGGCATACCTTTTTCGTCGTATGGGTTTCGAGAATATGCTCATACAGAGGACACATTATGAATTGAAGAAGGAACTGGCTTTGTACAGAAATTTAGAATTCGTATGGCGGCAGAGCTGGGATGCTGAAGAAACAACTGACATGTTTGTTCATATGATGCCCTTTTATTCATATGATATTCCACATACTTGCGGGCCTGAGCCTGCAATATGCTGTCAATTTGACTTTGCTAGAACCTATGGCTTTACGTATGAGCGCTGCCCTTGGGGAGAATATCCACAGGAGACCACACCAGAAAATGTTAAAGAAAGAGCACTAAAGCTGCTGGATCAATACAGAAAGAAATCAACACTATATCGCACAAATACTCTTCTTATTCCCCTCGGAGATGATTTCCGCTATGTCACCGTTGATGAGGCTGAAGCTCAGTTCAGGAATTATCAGCTTTTGCTTGATTATATCAATTCTGATCCGGACTTGAATGCAGAAGCAAAATTCGGTACCTTGGAAGATTATTTCCGGACTCTTCGTGAAGAGGCTGATAGGGTAAATTACTCCCGTCCAAATGAGATTGGGTCTATTGAGATTGGTGGGTTTCCTTCTCTTTCAGGCGATTTCTTCACATATGCTGACAGACAGCAAGATTACTGGAGTGGTTATTATGTTTCTCGACCTTTCTTCAAGGCTGTTGATCGTGTGTTGGAGCAGACCCTCCGCGGTGCTGAAATGATGATGGCTTTCTTATTAGGTCATTGTCAGAAACCACAATGTGAGCGGTTACCTACCGGATTTGCCTATAAGTTAGCAGCGGCTAGGAGGAACCTAGCGCTGTTCCAACATCATGATGGGGTTACTGGTACAGCTAAGGACCACGTAGTTAATGATTATGGGGTGAGAATGCACATAGCTTTGCAAGATCTTCAAATTTTCATGTCAAAGGCCATAGAGGTGTTGCTTGGGATTCGCCACGAAAAGAATGAACAGAACCCATCTCAGTTTGAGCCTGCACAAGTGAGATCTAAATACGATGCTCGGCCAGTGCATAAAGCCATGGCTGCTCATGAAGGGACAGTCCAGACTGTGGTGATATTCAATCCACTAGAGCAGACAAGACATGAGGTTGTGATGGTAATTGTTGACAGACCGGAGGTGACAATCCTGGACTCAAATTGGACATGTGTGAGAAGCCAGATATCTCCAGAGATGCAACAACACTACAGCAGCAAGGAGGATGAAACATTATTCTCTGGTAGACATCGTGTATACTGGAAAGCTTCGGTCCCCCCGTTAGGGTTGCAAACTTATTATGTCGCTAATGGGTTTGCCGGTTGTGAAAAGGCCATACCAACAGAGGTCAAATGGTTTGTGCCTTCTTCCAATATTTCTTGCCCCAAACCATATACTTGCTCAAGAATGGAGGGTGAAGAAGCAATAATCAGTAATCGGCATCAGACGTTGACATTTAGCATGAAGGAAGGATTGTTACAGAGAGTTAGTCATACCAATGGCCGCCATAATGTTGTTATTGGGGAGGAAATAAGTATGTACTCTAGCACTGAGAGTGGAGCTTACCTATTCAAACCAAACGGCGATGCTCAGCCCATTTTTGTAGCCGGTGGGTCGATGGTTATCTCGGCGGGCCACTTGGTGCAGGAAGCTTACTCATTCCCAAAGACACAATGGGACAAAGCTCCAATTTCCCATAGCACCCGCATATATGATTATGGTGGTGGTGACAGTTCTTCGATACAAGGAAATGTCATCGAGAAGGAGTACCATGTGGAGCTTCTTGGCAGTGATTTTAACAACAAAGAACTTATAGCTAGGTACAGAACTGATATTGACAACCAAAGGGTTTTCTATTCTGATTTAAATGGGTTCCAAATGAGCCGTAGAGAGACGTATGACAAGATCCCTGTTCAAGGGAACTATTATCCAATGCCATCTCTTGCTTTTATGCAGGGATCGGATGGTAGACGCTTCTCCGTCCACACCCGGCAGTCCCTAGGTGTGGCAAGCCTTAGAGATGGATGGTTAGAGATAATGCTGGACCGGCGATTGGTGAGGGATGATGGGCGTGGTCTTGGACAGGGGGTGATGGACAATCGGCCAATGAATGTTGTGTTCAACATCCTTGTAGAGTCTTCTTCGAACGCTTCAATAGCTCCTGCAATTACTAATCATCACCCTCTAAGCCCTTCCCTTTTATCTCATCTCATAAATTCCCACTTAAACTACCCCCTCAACACATTTGTAGCCAAGAAAGCACATGAAATCTCTGTACAGCCTCCCCCAAGATCCTTCTCTCCACTGGCATCCAACCTTCCATGTGACTTGCACATCCTAAGTTTCAAGGTTCCTCGCCCTCTAAAATATTCCCAGCAGCCCCCACTTGAGGAAGAGCCTAAGTTTGTTCTCGTCTTCCAGCGGCGGCATTGGGACTCCTCGTATTGTCGGAAGGGTGGCAGGTCTGATTGCTCAAGTGTGGCTGATGTGCCAGTTAACCTATTTGACATGTTCAAGGGTCTTACCGTTTCGAATGCAAAGCCCACATCTTTGAATCTGTTGCATGAAGACACAGAGATGCTTGGTTATAAGGGGCATTTTGCAGATGGTGCCCGTGAAGGTCATGTCCTCATCTCTCCCATGGAAATACAGGCTTACAAATTACACCTACGACCAAATTAGCCAGAGAGTAATTTTTGAAATTTTCTTTGATCAAAGTGCTTTTCTTCTTAAGGAGGTTCAGAGGTACTCTTCATGATAGAGACCAAGGTGGGAAAATCAATATGTTTCTGAAGATTTTTTTTTTTGTATTCTATAGCTCCTTATATATGAATATATAATCACCAAGATGTCTTGCAGGTTTCATTGCCATAAAGCAATGATAACTTTTCTTGAAGAAAATAAAAGATTCAGGGTACATGGGCAATTTTTAAATCCATCTAAACTTTTTAGCCTTTCAAGATTGAAAAATATATTGAGGAACAACATTGATATATAATTTGATATTTTAATCAAAATCTTGAAATAATATATTTTTCACTTCTGGTTTGGACATAACAAATTAAACATGACTATCTGCTATAAGGAAACATATATGCTCTTCACCAAGAACGAGAACACCTGTGTAAAAGCTTCACTCCTCCCCTTGAGAAATATAGAGCCTTTTACACGCTGTAATTAATACATTTTTTTTTTCATTTTGAAGGTGTTTGCTGACTGGAGTCCAGGTGGTGAGAAAGTTTCCTCTGGTGGCAAAGACAGACTTTTGAACCTATGTATGGGGTTAACATGTTGTATTTATATGTCACACAATCTCACCGATAAAATTTTGGTCCTGTTGGGCTAGGGTTTGAATCTAAAGGTCTTATAGTGTGAGCACAAGCAAATTAGTCCTTCTATCTCCTTCCATAAGAAAAGAGTTCCGTATTTATAGTTTTGTGACATTTTAATGAAGGTGATGCCGTGATGGTGGCAACAACATGCTGGCTGCATAACGTGATTGGTAGCGGTATTTTTTTTCATTAGATAGATTTAAAACAAGTGTTATTGAATGAAGAAAGGTTGCATGGTTTAGAGTATTAGTACGCAATTTATATCTAGAATGTCAGATGAATTAAATCTATAAAAAAATCTCACGTCAAGTGGTAGATAATAGTCGAAACATAAACAAGTCAAACTATGGAACAAAAAAAGATGCCCCATATTTAGAAACGAAAAATGATCGCAAATCTATGGTCAAATATTACTATATTAAAGTTATATCCATGAGTAAAAGATTATCCTTTATTAATAGCCTAGCTTATTTATCTAGTTCTTAAACATCATATCATAGTAGTATCCATGGCATCTAAAGAGCACAGGTTATTGAAAAAGATGTCGATATCTAACTTAATAGTCATTGCACTCGGTACTTGTGTAAAAAGCACTCACAACATTTGTAGACATCAACAATGATACTCCGTATGAGACAATTAGCTTTACTGATATCAAGTACCGAAGAAATGATGAAGTACAAAATGAGTATGTGGATATGAGCGCCTTTCAAATAAATTATAAAGTACTTGTGCAATGTATGGTTACACTCCCAAAGGGGCAAAGTCAGGATTTCCCACTAAGCCAATGCCCTCGAGAAGTCCTATTGTCGAGATGGTTAGAGAAAAATAAGGGGTATTCTAAATGATACTCGAATGCTATTTGCGCTAAAAATAGATTCGAATACTTTCAAAATTACTACCTCTTTCAAAATTCTGCCACGGACCCCCATCAATCAAAATTCTGTTATTTGCACCCAAAATTCTGCCTCATTCAAACAAATCTTATGCGGAATATCAATAGGGTTTATTACTTTCATAATCAGTAAATTCCTCTCAAACTGCCACAAACCCCCACCAATCACACGTTTCATATCAACAGGATGATTAAAACTGAAAATATACCTCTTTTCCTCGATTTCCTTGATCTCCACGCCCCTTCCCAGCCTCCATAGCGACACCATCATCTCTTTGGAAGCTGAAAAATTGATCTTTCTGTCCGTTATCAGCGCGCCCACCACGGGGAAGACCGACCGAGCATCCTCCCTGGAGTTCTCTTCGGAGTCGGGTTCATCACAGTTCAGCTCCACCCCTTCGTCTTCAACACTCATCTTCCGATACAGGTCTGCAATGATCTTCTCCATGCAGCAACCTCTACCACCGGTCCTCGAAGGATCTGGCGATCCTCGGCCACATCGAATCCTGACCGAAGCCAACTACCGACCTGGACCGAACAGCACTCAGGCTCGTAATGGTAGACCAGTGAACCCAAGCAGTACCAAATCGAAAACAAAACTTGCTAAACCCTTCAATTCCCCGGCCAAACATCGGCCAAACAGCCACCGAACCCCGCCGATAAAGATGAGAACGGATAGAAACCCTAGTGGCACAAAATGACCTAGAGAGAGAAGCCAAAAAAAAACTTTTTGTGCAATTCATGTGATGTATTAACTAATAAACAAGTGAAATTCTGATTTTATTTTTATTTGAAATAATTACATATTAATAACTTAAAATAAAGGTTATTGATAGAAATGTGATTGTAGTAGCAAGTTTAGTTATAGTGATTTATGTTCAATTTGTACACTCAAGTGAACATGAGTCTATGAATTTATACTATAGTAATTTGTAGTCATATTGTAAATAAATTACTTGGTGTTGGGGACTTGAGGGTTGTTTACATTATAACTAGTATTTGCACCCGTGCGATGCACGGCCGAGATATTTAATCTTGAATTAATTAAAAAAAAAATATTAAAATTCAAAATGATACATCAAACATTTTACAATAACCACTTCAAGGACAAAAGAATCATCTTGTTCCACATAAGATGACATGAATTTTTTTTAATGTTTTGAAGTACTTCCTTATAAACAATACGAAGTATTTGTAAAAGATGAAATATAATGAAATTTAAATCACAATATAATACACATTGGAAAGTTTGCATTACCTAAAATAACATATACCTATCTAATGATTTTGTTACAATTCTTTGTAGACTCATTTACAGTCTCAAAATTTGGGTGCATTTAATTGAAACATTTTAAGACATTTGGAGAGTCTAGAAAAGTCTTCATGTATTTAAAACACCAACAAAACTTGAGATTCTTTTTTGGATTAGGATTTTGCAGGACTTCACAACAAAAATACACTCACAAAAATATAATCAAAATACTAAGAACCAAAATACTTGTTAAGTTTAATTTAATCAAATAATATTAAATAATCCGTACCAAAATTTTAAAACTATAAGAGGGTATGTAACAAAAATACTCATTGTATAAAAGTAAAGATGTAGTTAAACCTTTTGAGTAATTATATTGTGAATCATGACTACTAACTGTTAAATAATATATCGAACTTCACATAAAATATATGGAGCATGTTTCAACAATTTATTTGAATATTTATTATAGAAATCATAATTATTTTGAAGTGGTTGTAATTTTTTTAAATTGCAATTATAATAATTTTGGTAGTAAAAGAACAATACTTAAGATTAAAAAGTCAAAAATTGGGCGAAAATTAAGTAAAAATGAACACACATGCATTCAGAAACATGAAATTCCAAACGGCAGACCCCGTAACCTTTTTATATTCATGTCAGAGAAGTTTTATGTAGAAAGCTCCCATAAAACTTGTATGAATTCGAAATGGAAAAATTTTTTTAAAAATAAATTGTGTTTAATTTGTTAAAAGTTGAAAAATCAGAACGTAACTTTGAATATATGTTTATTTATTGGCGTTGGAAAAAGCATTGAAATGTGAAAAGCTCGAAACACCGGGCTACGCACTGCATTTAATTTAATGTCCATCAGTCCATGTTAGAAGAGTTTTATCGAGAACTTGCTGAGGAATCCATCCCAAGAGGTTTTATTTTATCCTAGGGAAAGGAATGACCCAATTGGTTTTGGTGTCAACCTGCTGATGAAGAATCATTTTGTTATTATATTAAGAAAGATAAATAGAGAGTATCAAATATTGGTATGTGTGTGTGTGTGTGTGTGTGTATATATATATATATATATATATATATATATATATATATATATATTACTCAAATAAGGATGGTGGATAAAATCATGACATATTATATAGAGCGGTTTATTATAATTTTTAGTAATTGTATTTTGTTGAATTTTACATTATAATTATTCATACATATTTTGTCATGTTTGTCAATGATTAATTTTAGTAACGATTTAGGAAAAACATATTCTTTTAATCATAATATTTACTTGTAAATAACCATGCAAATATTACTCAAAAGATGATCAAAGTGAAATTTGAGCATTGTTGCTATCAGTCGATCACTAGGTGACTACGTACGGTGAGGATTTTAGTAATCAGAGAATCAATTATATTTGAACAAACAATTATGATGAAGTGTTTGCGATTGTTTCTACTTTAAAAAGGTAAATTTTTAAAGTAGTATTGGGAAAAGGGTTTAGTAGTAAAAGTTGGCAGTGTTTGAAAAAAAATGATCATGAAAAAGTAAACATTGGTAATGTTTGATATAATAAGTGTTTTTTGCATTGTGTAGTAGAAAAAGTGAAAAGCAGTTTAAAGCACCTCTCAAACTGCTTCCAACTTTTAGTTTTTAAGTGATTAATTTAAGCAAAAGTTGTTACTTAAAAACACCAGTTTCAAGTTTCTTTAAACCAAAATTGAAAAGTGTTTTTTTAAGTTTTTGCACACACCTTGTGCCAACGTCTTTTGTCACTTATATTACTATTCATGTAGCTAGATAATAAAAAGAAGGAAAATGGAAATTTAAAAAGCATGTTTCGACAACATGCATTGCCTTGATTTACTCATGACAAGTTGGTCTTGTGCGCTAATTTATTGCAATAGTTTAGTGTGGTGACTATAACGTCGGCCAAAACAAACCCACTTTATACTATATCAGTCCCCTAATAAATAACTCTATACACTCTATCTTAATCATCGTGTTATGTTATCTTTAAAATAATTCAATAATATAATCTCAAACATCAACCCATGTAAAACTTCTAAATTAGCCTCCTAACTTCATTTTTGGTTTCAAATGCATGAAAACTTTTTCTTACCCTAACAGAAGAACCTCCATGGTAAAGAAAATTTTTTTCTTATCTTTTTATGACACACAATCATCAGTAAGATTCAGTGATAATTTTCGGAAAGATTTAGTATTTCTTGTAACATCCACATTTTTTACATGTTGCCATCTCATGAAAAAGTGATTCTATTTGGATTGAGCTTTTAATTTGTGGTGATAAAGTGCAAACAACACTTTATATTCTTATGACTTCACATTTTTTCTAAGTGGGTTATGTTATATCCCATTTACTTGGATATTTCAGTTTAAAATCACATAAAATATGAGTAGACTTAACTTTAATTGATTGGAGGCGACTAGACTTAAAACAAATCAAATCATATTAGCTTCGCTCTAAATAATAGAGGATATTGATATGTATAAGAAAATAAAATAATAATGATGTACACAAAATGTCAAGAAAATTACTATTTGTACACATAATTTAAGCACACTTTTCCGTATATACAGACATCTCGTTTAAAAAGAAACAACAGCTGTCTGTATACACAGACGAGTGTAAAATATACAAAAAATATGTACATCCACCAATTACCTTTGTAGGCAGGCAACTCGTTTACAAAAATGCAACAATTATCCGTGTAGATAGAAGAGTTCGTCGAATGTGTGCAAATTATGTGTACCACAAGAATGGTTGAAATCTTAAACATGAATATGTCATGAAACCAGAGGTACTAAGCTCAAACATGGCATACTATACGAAAATAACAAACTCTATGAATTTCAGTGCCCGTTTGATAACACTGAAATTGCCTCAATTAGTTAAAGTTTATGAAATTCTAAATGGAATGAATGAATGATTAGATCTGCTGAAGTATGGAAATATTATATTCTAAATATATTTTATCAATAGAGCGAGAAAAATTACATGAAAATAACTAGAATGATACTCCACAATAACTGCAGCTAATTTAGTCAGAAAAGTAACTCCGCTTTTATTGTGATTATTATTCATTTCAACGTGCGAAGT